CTCGAACTCGCAACGATCCTCCTGCCTCAGCCTCCCGAGTGCTGGGATTACAGGCATGGGCCACCACACCCGGCTCCTATTCGCTTTTTCCTCCTCTCCTGGAGACAATTATCCTAATAGGTTTAATATATGTCCTTTTACAAATGTATTCTTAAACTGGGCCTGGTGCAGGGGGTCTGTAATCCCAGCATGCTGAAAGCCTGAGGAAAGAGGGTCACAAGGGTAAGCTCAGCCAGGGCAATTTAGAGACTTAGCAAGACTCTGTCTCAATAAATAAATAAATAAATAAATAAATAAATAAATAAATAAAATGGGCTGGGGATGTGGTGCAGGGCAAAAGCTCTGGGTTCAATTCCCAGGTTCGTCATCAAAGATTAGTCAAATCAAATCAAAATGCATTCCTGTGACATACATGCTGTTGTTTTGGTACACATGTGTTGAATGTTCACAATGGCACGGTCTGTCTGCTTTAGGATACTTTCTTTATTACATATTCTCAGGGGAGGACTGCTGCATCCCTCATGGCGTGTGCACCCGATTTGAATCATTTGCTCCTTAGGTGACTGCCCCATCGCCACTCCCTTGATCAGTCCAGGGCTACAGAGGCCCTGACAGGTGGCATCGTCCAGCTTTCAGACTGGGCCCGTCTCTGACAGATGCCAAGCGGCAGGTCCTCCTGGTTTCACTTTTCATTCTTTGGATCACCGAAGAGTTGGAGCCTTTTCTGTACGCCTGCCAGTCTGTCAGGCTCCTTTGTGAGCAACCTGGGCATAGTCTTAGTCTTTCATCTGTTGGGACCCTGTTCTTTCTTTATTGATTTGCAAGAATTCCTGTATATTCTGACTTTCAATCCCACCTTGAATTTAAGCATGGCAACCATCTAATCCCAACTGAAAATATGTTAGTAATTTAGTCAAGAGCAGATGTCCTTATTCTATGCAAATTAATAAATTTTTGCCCTTATTGAATGACTTGAACTTGCATGGTTTTGCTTAGGAAGTTCTACTCCTTTCTATTAACTTTAGATTTTCCTCTAACATTTAGGGGGCTTTTCCCATGCGGACTGTGAGACACGCATTGCACTTACTTCTGTCCATATTGTGAGCCAGTCCTCTCTACCCTGTCTCTTATGCAATTCCTTCTGTCCCTACTAATCGTAGAGCTGCCTTTATTGTGTATCAAGTTCCCATGTATACGAAGACTCTAATTTCTACTCTGATCCTCATCTAAGGGTCTTATATCAACAGCACATCTTGTGTGCCAAAACTGTATTTGTACGGCTAGTACCTTTACCCCACAAGGTTGATGTGACTAATTGCAAAGGTTTCTTTCTCTACATAACTTAGAGTAAGTGAACCTAGGTTCTCAAGAAAGCATTTTGGGTGGGTGTGGTGGCGCAGACCTATAATATCAGCACTTGGGAGGCTGAGGCAGGAGGACTGTTGTGACTCTAAGGCCAGCCTGGGCTACAAAGTGAGCTCAAGGCCAGCCTGAACTGCACAGCAAGACCCTGTCTCAAAAAGACAAAAAAAAAGAAAGCCATTTTGATTGGGATTGCAGCAAATGTGATTGATGGGAAGATAACTGACAACTTAGCGACTTTTTGAGATACTGTCTCGAAATAAAAAGAGCTGGGGCTATAGCTCAGTGTGAAGAAGGCCGTGGGCTCAACCTCCAGTACAGCAAAACCAAACCAAACCCTAGCTTTTGGGTTTGTTCACCTTCTCCGCTTCCCCCTTTACTTCACTGATTTCTGCCTCTGTCTTTATTTCCTCTGTCTTCTTCAGGGGACCCAGGGATTCCCAAGGGAGGTACAGTTTCCCCGAAGCAGAGGCAGCGGGGAGCAGGTCCTGGCTCTCAGCCAGAGGTTTCCTTTCACATCGTGCAGCCTGTGTGCCAGGGCCATAGGGGCCAGGCCGGGAGGACCAGCTGCCAAGACCTGGAGGGTCCAGTAAATAGCCACTAGCCAGCCACTTGAAATGTGACTAGTGGAAACTGGGACAGCCCCTAAGCATCCAGTTTACACCCAAGTTCACAGGCTTGGAACCAAAAAATGTAAAACATCTCAGACACTGAAATGATATCTGGGATATATTGGCTTCAATGACTTACTTTTTTTTTTTTTTTTGTCTTTTTGAGACATGGTCTCGCTATGCAGTTCAGACTGGCCTTGAGCTCACTTTGTAGTCCAGGCTGGTCTCGAACTTGCAACGATCCTCCTGCCTCAGCCTCCCAAGTGCTGGGATTACAGGCATATGCTACTACACCTGGCTTCAATGACTTATGTTGTTAAAACTAACACTTTTTTTTTTTTTTTTGAGACAAGGTCTTGCTATGTAGTTCAGGCTAGCATTAAACTCACTGTATAGCTAGGCTGGTCTTGAACTTGTGGTGATCCTCCTGCCTCTGCCTCCAAGTGCTGGGATTACAAGCACATGCCACCATATAAGGATACTAGGAATTTTTAGTTACATAATAATAGAAAGGTAGCACAAAAACAGGTCAAATTTTGAGACCACTTTGGGGCTGTCTGAGCTCTGGCCAACACAACTCAACCTGCTTCATTTTGCACTGACACAAACAGATTCAAATTAAGACATTTATCCAAGGAGCACAGGGTCAGATTCTTCCTTTCCAAACAATAGAAGCCAACTGTGAAAATGTGTGTAGCACGCACCACCCCGGCCATGCCCACCTCCTCAGGCTCCTGTCTCTCTTCCCAGCTTTGGGTCTGAAGTGCGCAAATCACCAAAGCAGGTAGAAGCCCTCGAGGGGCTCCCTGCAGCCCCGAGTGGGTGGTGTGGTGTGGGTAGGGCTCGGATGCTCTCTCCAAGGGCCCACGGCCTGTCACTGGCTTGGTCCTCTTCACTCCCAGGTCAGAGCCCCTCCCCACACGTGTGATGCTGAGTTTTGTTTTGTTTTGTTTTGTTTTGTTTTGTTTTGTTTTGTTTTGGTACCAGAAGTCAAACTCGGGACCTTGTGCCTACCTGCAGGTGCTGCGCCACTGAGCTACATCCCCAGCGTGATGCTGAGTCTTATAGGGATTTCAGTCGCTCCCACCCCTAGGCTCCCCGCTTGCTCCTGTGTTCAGCCTGTTCTGGTTCTGAGGCCTTGAAAAGCTGGCTTCGGGGCACGGAGGGGAGGTCAGCCTGGGCAGCAATGTCCAGTGATGCTCTCTGCTTTGTTTCCAGGGATCTTCAGCACCCGTCCGCTGAGGGCACCTAGGCACCAAGGTGCCAGCACCTGGGAGGCCAGGAAAGCAGCTGGGCCTCAGGAGACCTAAGGTATCAGAGCCATGAATCAGAGCGAGGAGGCCATCGGAGACCCGCCAGGCACCATGGTGCCCCAGGAGCTGCTGGAGGAAATGATTTGGTTTTTCCGTGTAGAAGATGGTAAGCGGCAAGGGACAAGTGGCAGAGGTGGGTAGCATGGGGTGAGGGCTCAACACAAAGAGCAGGATTTGGCTGAAACCCCGGTGCCGTCCGCACCCCCGTCAAACGGCACATTTCCTGCAAACCGGGCCTGAGCTGCACTGCACCCTCCTGCCGTGGGCTGTGGTCGCTCCACACGGTCACCCCGTCATCGGCTGCACTGAGCAAGCTCCTTCTGTGTGCTGTTCTGACGCTAGGGTTACAGTAGCGGATGAAACACAAACATCTCCCCTTCGGGGGGCACGCGTCTAGCGGGACAGAAAATAAACAAGGTAAAAACGGACACGCACGGTGCAGAGATGACATGAAACAAGATGACACGGAGAAGAGGCCAGCAAGGGTGCAGCAGGGGAGATGGAGGGAGGCCCCGTTAGAAGGGGGCCTTCTAAGGTAGACTGCGTGCAGGGAAGGACTGAGCCTTGTAGAGGTGGGCGAGAGCCTGCCTGGCCGCAGGAGGAGCCCGGCCCGTCCTCAACGCCCTGCCGTGTCCCTCCTCAGCGTCTGCGTGGAATTACTCCATCCTTGTGCTGACGGCCGTGGTGGTCGCCTTGAGCTTGTTCCTCCTGGTCAGAAGCATCCAGGCCAACAGGTGAGGAGCTGCTCTGGGGGTGTCTGGGGCGGGGGGCGGCCCTGCCTGCCCGGAGGGCAATCCAGGGAGGGCACTGGCCTTTGGGACAACAACCGGAGTCTTCCATCTCCTTTGAGAACCCAGAGCTCTTTTAAAAAATGGCAACTGGCCCTGAGGGCCACCTCCTGGCTCTGGCAGGCGAGCAGGCACAACCGGGAGGAGTGTAGCCATGAAGAAGGTGGCTGTGAAGCTCGCATGGTGGCGCTTGCTTCTAATCCCAGCACTCCGAGAGGCTGAGGCAGGACGATCACAAATTTGAGCCCAGCCTGAGCAACATAGTGAGACGTATCTCAAAAAATAAAAAGGGTTGGAGACATAGCTCAGTGTGAAGGCCCTAGGTTCCACCCCAAGTCCTAGGGGTTAAAAGAATAAAAAGGGAAGGCAGCTTTGCCCCTTGCCTGTCAGGAAGCCCGGCACTGAGAGGCGAGGTGCTGTGAAGGAACAGCAGGCTGAGGAAAGGGGTGGTGAGGGTCTGTGGAGGGGCGCAGGGGAGGGCTCCACACACATAACCGTGGGGCTAGAGCAGAGCTGTGAAAGGAGAGACAGGCTAGGAGTTTCCTGTAGCAGCTGGGGGACAAGGACCTGTACTTAATAGGATGACAGCCCCAGGGCCAGGGCCAGTATGGTTGGTTCAAAGAACACAGGCCTTCCAGTGGGGATAAGCCTGGGAATACTGAGGATTTGACCTACAGCCTTTGCAGTGAGCTATATCTTGAGCCCTTATTTTAGTTTTTATTCTGAGACAAGGTCTTGCTACATTGCCCAGGCTGGGCTTGAACTTGTGATCCTCCTGCCTCAGCCTCCCAGAGTGCTGGGATTACAGGCCTACACCACCCAAACCTTCCAACCCACTTGGTAGACCCAGGCCTCCCCAGCCCCATGCTATCACTGAGCGTTCCCGTCCTCCCAGAAACCGAAAGCTGCAGCCGGGAGAAGAGGAAACACCTGAACTCGTGCATCTGAATGAGGCCAGAACCGGAGGCAACAGCAGCCTGAACAACCTAGAAGAGATGCTGCTCACAGAAAAGCCAGCCCTGGCCCTGCTGGGGACTGAATTAAAACAGCAAGATGACCCAGTAGTTCTGCTTCCGATCCCATCGAAAACTGAGAGCTAGAGCAGGCGTCACCCAGGCCAGGCACGGCTCGGGACGGGGCGCACCTGCAGCCAGAGGTCGGGCTCGCCTCCCGAAGCAGCCTGTTTTTTATCAGCAGATACAATGAATGAACTGCGATAAAACAAAGCTTCCATTATTTAAAAAAATCTTTTATTAAAATGCTTCTGGAGGTGGGCAGTTGGAATTGTACAGTTTGTTCAAATGGTGGTGATACACGCACACACACACACACAAGTGGCTTGAAGCAAAGTGCAAAATCCCTCGCAGCCTAGGGCGCGGCGGCCTGGCGGGACCCTCAGCGCGTGGTCCGGAGTCGTTCACAGCCCCCTCTGGGCCCCACTTCTCCCTCAGTAGAACTGAGGCCGAAGGCTGGGTTAGAGGTATTCTGAGTCCAAGGTCCTGGAACTGAGCGCTGAGATGGAAGGAAGCGGGATTGTGGAGTCAGAATCCCCTTCCCAGCCTTCGGGGAGCCGGAGCCCCTCCTGTACCTGCTGACGTACCCAGGCTTCATGTGAACAGCGCTGGAAGACAACCACACCCCGTCTCCAAAGCCTCCTCCTGCTAACAGTGCGAACCACAGGGAGTAACGGGCGCCCACATCATGACTGTGGAGGGCCGCCTGGGCCACTCTCCTTGAAAGAGGAGCAGTTGTCTCCATTTTGGCTGGCCTGACCCTATTTCCATGTATGATATGTACACAGCTGGCTGGGACTTTTCCTCATCCCTTCAATTGGCTTTAAGCAATGCACATTGGTCCAGCTGAGGTGCTGGTGGTAGACTTTGAAGACGGCAGGCAGTGTTTCCCCGGCGCCCCTGTTGTTCCCATGAGTGAGCTGGGATGAGGCGGGATGTGTGAGCCAGTGCTCCACGCTGTCAGCTGGGATGGAGCCTTGGGACAGAGGCTATGACTTCCTGGGGCTTCAAACATTACACATCGGCGCTGAAGCACTGACCCCAAAACATCACATACCACCTCAATTGTGTTATGTAAATTACTCTTTCTGCAGATCCTTTTCTCTGCATTTGCAGAGGTGATTTCAGGGCTCCTACCCAGCCCAGCTCAAGGCACTCACCTACTTCCTGCCATTCTCAGTCACTCATCCTCAAGCCACTCCCTTCTTCATAAATGAATAAAACCCGGGTTAGACCTTGGGTCGAGGCCTTTGTTCCGGATGGCCATCATCACAGCTGGATTTAGGACCTCTTGGCTCCCCACAACTACAAATATGCCTTAGTGTCTTTATTCTCGCCATGGGCTGTACTGGAAGTGGTAGATTGGAATTAACTCACTAGGATTCCAATAACTTTTCATGGGATTACAAACACAAACTTCCTGGGCCGCAACAAGGACCGGGAGGGCTCTCTGTAATGATGTTGTGGCAACATCTATTCAGTGGCAACACCACTGCATTTATGCAACACTTTGCTCTACTAGCCCAACATACTTCAGGTTCTGTCACAGAAGTGGGCTTTGACCTGGGCACAGTGGTGCACATCTGTAATTTCAGCACTCTGGGAGGATGAGGCAGGAGAATCCCAAGTTTGAGCCCAACCTGGACAACTTAGTGCGTTAGAGTGTCTCAAAATAAAAAAATAAAAAGCTGAGGCTATAGCGCAGTGTAAAGGCCCTGGGGTCAACCCCCAGTGCTGGGAAAAAAAAGAGAATGGGCTTTCAAAGCTCAGATCTGTTGTTGAAGGTTGTGGGTCCTGCCAAACCACACTACAAACTTTTTTTTTTTTTTTTTTTTTTGTCTTTTTCAGGCATGGTCTCGCTATGCAGTTCAGGCTGGCCTTGAGCTCACTATGTAGCCCAGGCCGGCCTCAAACTCACAACGATCCTCCTGCCTCAGCCTCCCAAGTGCTGGGATTACAGGCGTGCGCCACCACACCTGGCCCACACTACAAACCTTACACTGCTCCTATCTGAGTGAGCGGGCCATTGGTGACCCTGCCTTCTGTGGGCTGTCCTGGGCCCTGGAACCGTCACTGGGGAGGACACTGTGTTCTGCAGCCTCGGTCATTAGACTTGAGGAGCTGGTCCTGAGGGTGTGCAGACAGAGCCCTTAGCAAAGAGGGGAGAGGACCCTGAATCCTGGTGAAAGCCCACTGCAGGTGCCCTTCTGCCCTCCATGAAAGGCACAGCGCTGGGAATATCCCCGCCTGGAGCCCCCTGCCCTGTCCAGCTTTCCTGTAGAATTATGGAAACCAGAGCTTTTTGGATAAAAGCGTTGTTGTCTGGGGCTCCTGGGAGGTCAGAAGAGGACGGGTGGGCCAGGCTCCAACTTCTAAGCAGCTGCGCTGCCTCTGCCTCCCACCAGGTGGCGCCAGAACACTCGGGCTGCCCTTCCTGCAGGCCTCTGGGAGCTGTCCACCCACTATGGGCCACAGCTAGTCCGGCTGTAGCTGCAGCTGCAGAGATCAGAGCAGCAGAATGGACGCCACAGTTTCTTCTCGCTATGGCAGACTCCAGGTCTCCGGGATGTGGCAACGACTGCTTGCCTCCAGGGTCCTAGATGCAGTGGTTACCATAGAGACGAAGGCCGGCACAGCAGCCGCACCCCATGCAGTGGCTTTGGCTCACGGTGTGGGGACGCCGCTTGGTGCCGGAGGCAGGTTCAGCGGCCTGTCGGCGGGTGGGGGCATCAGTCCGTCAGCGGGAAAGGCTGGCAGCGAATGCCAGCCCTTGACCTGCCGCTGCCCCAGTGGCCAACCCGGGGGCTGCCAAGGACACGGGGGCCTCAGAAGATCTTGAAGCCCTTCAGGAGGGTGAGGGTGGGCGCCTTGCGCTTGCTCTGCGCGCGGGATGACTTCACAGTGACCAGCTTGGCCTGGGCCACGGCCGGCATCTCTTTCAGGCTGACGGTGGACAGCGTGTTGAAGGTGCAGCTGGCCAGCCCGTGCCGGGCGGTGAGCGGCGCCTGGTGCCCAGGGGCCCTGTCCTCGGAGATGAAGAGGGGCCGGGCGGGGGCGCTCCTCTCCAGCTCGCGCCGCGCCTCCCGCACCGCCTGGTGGAACACGTGCTGCACATGCGCGAAGTCCAGGCAGGCGGAGACCTCGAAGAACAGGCACCCGAACCTGCGGGCCAGGGCCGCACCCTCCGCCTTGGTCACCTGCCTGGCAGGGAGCAGGCGAGGCAGTGAGTCAGAGGGGCCGCTCCAGGCCAGGCGGGGTGGGTCCTGCCCCAGCTCCTCGCTCCTGGCTGGGGCTGCCTGCACCTCCATCCCCTCCACCCCCAGCTCGTCTTCTCATCAGCACAGTGGGGTTATGACATCAGCCTCTCAGCACTGTCCAGGTTAAGAAATACAAGTGGTATGGAGTGCTTAGCACAGTAGCTGGTTAGTGCTTGATACACAATGGCTGATAAACTGAGGATGGAGGTCAGGGGGAATGGGCCAAAGTCCCCCAGATAGACCAGCCTGTGGTTAGAGGAACCTCCTTTCCAGCCCCCTCACTCCACCAAAGCACGGGCCCTTCGGTCAGGAAATGGGCCACCACAGCCCTGGCTGGAGAAAGGCAGCTGAGCGGGTCACAGAGGTGACTCAGGAAGCCTGGGGCAGGCAGAGGTCTTGGGACTCATGGGGGCATCTGTCTTCCTGCCCAGGGGCGGGGCAGGGGGAACAGGGCGTTTCAGTGAGCATGGGGACACAGAGAGAGGGCAACATCTCTTCCTGGCTGGTTCCGTGCCACTTCCTGTGATGACAGGACGGAACGCGTGAGGTGGGAAGGTTGTGGGCGCTTCTAACCCAAATGCCGTGGAATGGAGGCAGGGGAAGAGCAGCTGGCCGGCTCTTGCAGGGAGGAGGTCTGGAGGCCAAAGCTGCTGGGCTGCTCCCCCCACCATTCCCAGGGGCAGTGGCACAGCCCAGGAGATGACAGAAGACCCCAGGGTGGGCCTTGGTGGGAGGGGGCCTTGCTCCCAGGTGGAGGAGCAACAGAGGCTAGGTATCTCCCACACCCAGGCACCCTAGGACTGTGTATGGTCCGCGCCCGCTAGTCCCTGAGGAGGCCCAGCCCGCTGGAGAGGGAACTCTCAGGCTCCGCCTTCATCTCGAGCTTGAACCTGAACTCTGTCCTTGCAGGATATGACTTAGGGATCCTCAGAGACTCACGGCTGTGTGTGACAGGCACTGTCGTTTTTCCTAGGACTGGTGAACTTACCAGGGCTCGGGCCCCACTGCTCCAACCCCACTCCCACCTTGTAGCTGACAAGACACTCACGGGGGACGCTGACCTCAAGGCGACTAACACATGCAGTGCGCCCCTCGGGTCCTGATCCGCTAAGGCTGGGACAAGACCCGAGGGGACAGGGCTGACCCGTCGTGACCTATCCTTAGGGAGCCAGTGCTGCTCACTCAGCCTTATATTCTTGGTCCGTTGCTCCCAAACCGTTTTGAGACCATCCCCTTGGCAAGGAACAGTGACCTGCAGTGCTTCCCAGACTGAATACAGGCCCCTTCAGATCGGGTGTTCTGACGCCCTTTGCAGGCCCGCAGCTCCTCAGACCCTGCAGTCACTTTGATGGCACAAACTCCCCTTGCTTTGAGATGTCATCTTCTGGGCCCCTGACGGTGCAGCCTTCAGGAAGCCACGACTCCCTTCTCCCACTGCCCACCCAACCTGTCCTAGACAAAAGGCTCCCTCCTGGTTAGCACCAGTCCCTGGGGCTCCGGGGCCCGGGAACGAAGGCACGAGCAGCCCAAGGGGAGGGCTGGGGACAGGCTGTGGCTTCCAGGGAGAGTGCAGTGGGATTACTCATCTCGCATGGCACCCCGGTCTCAAGTGCCTCAGGGCCAGGAGAACGTGGAGGGAAACCTGGGGGGCAGCGGCTGAGGTCGCGGGGAGGGGGCAGGCCCCACCTCAAAACATTCCAGTGCCTGTCCTGTCAAACACCGCGCCGGCCAAGCAAAACACGGCTGCAGACTCTGCGGTCACCCACCCTCCGGCCCGGTCCTGACCCCTGGCTCCGGTCCAGCCTGTCTAAGAAGAGCTGCCCTCGCATAGCCTGGGGGGCCGCACGGGGGTGGGCAGAGCTGGCTGGACCAGAGTGGCCACCCGACCCAAGGGCCCCTCGGAGCCTGGCCCTGCAGTGGAACGGGAATGGCATCATTCAGCCGCTGGGGTGGGACCAGAGGTCACCCTGGCTCAGGCAAGGAAGGGCGAGGCCGAGAGAAACCAGAAACCCGCGAGGATGGAAGGAGCGGCTTCTGTTCTGGCATTCGGGGGCCCAGCCCTGCCCTTCCCGTCCCTGGCTGCCGGGAAGCCCAGGCCCACCTCACACTCTCAGCACCTTTGCCCGGGCGCGACTGTCCTCCCGGCAGCTAACTCACCCCCCCCCCGGGCGCCCACCGCACTCACCTGTACTGGGCCATGTCCAGCTTGTTGCCCAGCAGCAGGGCTGGGTAGCCGCGCTGCATCTCCTTGGCGTGCAGGGCGAGCAGCTCCAGGTAGCTGCTGCTGCCCTCGAAGCTCTGGCGGCTGTCTACGCTGTACACCACCAGGAAGGCGTGGGCCCAGTTCAGGTAGCGCTCGCAGTTCCTGGGGGTGTCCTGCAGCGAGGGGAGACGTCCCCCGGGGGGGGCACAGAGGGCGTGCGAGGTCACGGGCCGCGGGGTGAAGACCTTCACCTGAGCCATCCCTCTCGCCCCGTCTGGGTACATTGTTCCCCACCCGAGCCCTTTTCAAAGGGGCACTTGAGCGTGGACTTGGCTCGGTGTGAAAGGAGACATTGTCTCGTGACCCCCCTCCCACCACCCAGCCGGAGACTTGGAGACCTTGGCCGCTTGGGCGCACAGCCAAGGACCTGGCACAGCCCCTCCGGGACCTGCTGTCTCTGGGCACTGCTGGTTTCGGGTCAAGTTCACGCTGCCCTCTTGGCTTCTGAGAACAGCCGGCATCTGGCCTTGGCGAGGGGGCGGGGAGGGCGAGGGGGAGGCGACCGAGGGCTCTCACCAGGAGCATTTGTGTGAACAGGCGTGCCCCTGTCTGCGTGTGCCCGCGCGAAGAGCCCCACAGCGCAGGGTCCCAGAGCTGCCACCAGCCACTCCCCCAGCCCCCAGCCCATCCTCCTCACGTGGACGGAGGATTCGGGCTCAGGGAAGTCAGGGCCTCGTTTCGGATCACATAGCAAGTTGGACTTTTAAAAGGACCCAAATTCTCTGCCGTCCAAGGGGAAGTGGGGAGGTTACCGGGTCTGCAGTGTCCATGACCCTCAGGTGGACGGGCTGGTGGTCCACGGTCTCCTCGGAGCTGTAGGTGTCCTCTGTAACACAGAGGGTCAGTCAGGCTGGGCAGGGTGGGCCACTCAGCAGCGAGCTGGGTTTGAGTCACAGCTGGCCCCCAGGCAGACAGGAGGGCCCCCGAGCGCGGCTACAGGGTCAGCTGAGCTGGATGTAGGAGGATTCCCACCCCAGGGACACTGCTTCCCCTGCAGGGCTTGGTGCATCACAGGCCGCAGTGTAACATCCCCGCAGAACGGGCCAGCGGGGCAGAGGGGCGGCCTTTGCTAGCCCCACAGGCTCAGAAGCGGCACTGCCAGCCCTTCCTCCCCAAACCCCAAGCCCTCCAACACCAGGACCCAGGCCACGGAGAGCCCCAGGGACAACTCCCGCCCCGCTGGGAGCAGAGATGAGGGGAAGAGAAGCACGTCACGTCTTGGATGGAGGGCGGTTGAACCCCAAAGAGAAGCTCCAAGAGGGTTTTACAAATAATCCTTGTCCGTGTGACAGCAGAAGAGTTTTAAGCTGCAGATGTAGAACCAAAGCCAAGGTTAGCTACTTTTTAGCTGCGTACTTGGGCCAAGTCAGTTTAGTTCTCAGGGGAACCTGAAATCATCGTAAAATGGGCATAATGTGGTGACAGTGGCCAGCAGTTTCCAAGCCTTTCCTCTGTGCTGGGTGCTGTGCTAAGTGCTCGTTCCTGGCCTGCACTTCCCCATCCCCCAGGCCTGGGTGGGCACAGGGCCTGGCACCACCTGGAAAGGGCAGGGGGCTGGGGAACGCCTAAGTGGACAGGGCAGGCTCCCACTCCTAGCTGATTTCTTTTTTCTTTTTCTTCTGAAATCATTTCAGACTCCTGAGTTGCTAAATAGTGCAGCATTCCCGTGCACATGTCCCTAACCTGCCCCAATACTAATACCTTATGTAACCCTGGCACAATTACCAAAGCAAGACATCCACCCTGGTACTCTACCATGAACTGAACTGCTGACCTTATTTGGATTTCACAAGGTTGTTGGTATTATTTTTTTCCATTTCTGATGACCTCAAACTTCAGCAAGCAGCTAGAGGTCAGTGGTCGGGCACGCAAATGAGGTATCGCTGCCATACCGGGTGAGTGTCCCCACTCCCAATCTTTCCCGTGAGCCCGGCACACACACACACCCTTCCCTGGGGGTCCCCTAGGGCACGTTACCCCCCAGCAGCAGCCCCTGCGAGTTGCTACCCCTGCCCAGGCTGAAGGTTCAGCCGCACACTTCCTCAAGTGCTGCGGGCAGCCAGGCCGCCCTGGACGCATGCCAGGGCCCCTCACATCCAGCATGAATCAGACAGGGCCGGGGCCCCAGCCTGCTCTGGGGACTCGGACAAATAGCTGCTCTTATGCAAAGACAAAAAAAAATCAAATGGAAAACAAGCCCCAAATGTTTAACTATATTTGGCCCAAGAAGAGCTGTCCCTAGATGCCAACATCGTGTTCAGATTTGTCTTTATTTTCCTTCCATCGCTGTCCGGTGCAACCCTTTTGGTCCCTCCAGCAGGCACCAAGTCCCACCCAGCCCAGCCTTGGTCCCCTGCTGTCCCTCCCACACCACCACCGGCCTTTCACTTGCCCACACCACATGGCACCCTCAGTGGAACGTGGGGCCGGTTCCCTGCCCAGGCCCCTCACGCCCCAATGGCTCGGTGGGTCAGCTGGTCCCCAGCTCTGAGCAGAGGGCAGGGGAGGACGAGAAGCACCCAGTCTTCCCCGACACAAGGTGCTCTGGGGTCCTGAAATATCCGCGTTACGTAACTCCTAGCTCTCACCCATAGTCTATGCACTTTAAGGGTGAGAAAAGAGCCCTGTCCCAAAGTATTGTTCTGTCATTTACAGCAACAGTTATTTTTTAAAAGGCACCCAAAGAAGTTCTGGTCAGAGTATGGAGCAGAGAAAAAACAGGAGAGGGTGAAGCTGGCACCGTCCCTACCGCCTTGAAAAAGCAGGGTCCTGGGGACCTTCGTCCCCTCCTGTGGATGTGACCTTCACAGGCACTGACCTCTGCTCCTACAGGCTCTCATAGTCACAGCCCACAGCTCAGCACAGGTCTGACAGTGACAGAGCTCAGGCTGTTAACCCCATCTTCCAGATGGGGAAACTGAGGACCAGGGAGCCCAGGGCTACATGGGCCTCTGATGCTGGCCCGCCTGTAACGTAAGACTGCTCCTATTGAATGCAAATAGAGTGCGGTTCCTCATCTTCCTTGGCAGCTGAGGCTCTCTGTGGTCTTAGACAAATCATTGAGTCCTCTGTCTCAGTTTCTCTGCCTGTAAAATGGGTGATGATAATCATAGGAGCTCTTCTCTGAAGGATAATCCTAAAAACAAATTCAGTGCCCCAGTGCAGGGGCTATGTTGTGCCTTGTACTGTGCCTCCTGCTGGAACTAAACTCAAGTCTCAGAGGGCCCCCAAATGCACCCAAGGTCTTGGGAGACCCTGGCAAGGGCAAAAGAGCTATCTGCCAACGTCTGTCTGAGGCTCAGCTGAGCTCTCTCCACAGAAAGACAGATGTGGGTCCCCAGTCCCAGCTGCTGCTGGAACCAAGAGGGGACAGGAACCAGCAAGCTGAGGCAGTTCCCAGCAGTGGGACACAAACCCGGGAATGCCCCCGCCCCCCCACAAGTCTCTATAGCTCAGGGCAGTGACTGAGCACTTTGGGGCTCCTGCCTGGCCCCCCGCAGCCTGACCACACATTCCACCACCAGGTCAGAACCCCAGAGCTACTCAACCAGGAAGCACAAACGTCCCTGGAACAGGCTCCTCCGGGGACCCTGGTGCCAGGTATGGACTGGGGCCGGGGAAGCAGAGAGAGGGGAAGTGGTTGCCAGGAAAGAGCCAGGGTGCCCGGTGAAGTCTGAGTTTTGGGTGCACCGGAAGTAGTTTTTAATACAAACAGCCCCCCTCACACACATACTACCTGAACTGGGAAGAATGTCCTTGGGAATCCCCCTTGGCCCCTGCCAGACACCTGCCTGCCTGTGCGCCCTTCCCTCCCGGCCTCCACCTCCCCCATCCTCCGTTCCTCCAGCTCTGCCCTCTCCTAAGCCCTGCCCCGGCCAGCAGGATACTGCATCCGGTGTCCTGCTCCCTCAGGAGGTGACCGCTGCTCATCAAAGTCACACACTGGGGACTGTCACCACATTGGGGACTGTCACATCACTTGTCCTACAACTTCCTCACTTAGCCAAATTCTCTTTGACACCCTGGGGGTCTGTTAAGGTCTCTTTGGAGGAAGGGATTATTTTATGGCTGGAAAAAAATAGGACTAAGGGCCCCTGAGGATGCCCCGCTCTGGCACCAGGACTCAGTACCCTCGCCCGACGTGACCAGAGGGGCTGGTGGGCACCAGTGGGCTCAGCTCTTCCCTCCAGGCATCCCAGTGGCATTTCACAAGGGCCTGCTGCACAGGGCACTGCACCATTAGGGTATCGAGCCTGTGTCACCAAGCCCTGGGTCTCCCTGCAGACTCCTTCCCAATGCTTTACGCAGTTTTTATCAATGGGGAATTAACCCAACACCCATTTTCCAGATCATTCAGACACCGTAGTGGTCCCAGGAGATGGCTCACAAAACACGTTACTGCCTGGTGGAGCAACAACCTGGTAGGGCACACCAAATTCCCTTCTCTGGAAGCTGAGGCAGGAGGATCGTGAGTTTGAGGCCAACCCGGGCTACATAATGAGTTTGAGGCCAGCCTGGACTACATAGTGAGATCCTATCTCAAAGAAATAAAAATAAAACACTGAGCAAACAAAAAGCTATACATGTGAGATTTAAGTTACACTGGAATTGATAAAATTCTGCTTTTATGTAAGTCTCAAGGTTCCACGTAAGAAGTTAGTTATGTTAGGAAAAGATCCTGCGGCAGAAAATATTTTCAAAAGCAATGATCTGATTAATCTGAGGGAACCGCAGTCACCAGGCCTTGGAAAAGTAAACATGCAATGAACACTGACTGGGGGTCAAGTACAAGGCTAGATGTTCCTGTGTTGTTTTTTTAATCCTCACTGCAATTCTCTGAGATAGGTATTTGTATTCCTGTTTTACGGATGGGGAAGCAATAGCTCAGGGAAGGTAAGCAATACTCTCCTGGCTGCACAGCCAACAACTGGCAAAGCAAGGACTTGAACCAGCCCTGACAGCTACCAAAATATCCCCTTTGCCCATGTACCGTGCTGCAACTAAAAAACAAGATAAATGGGGTATGGTGGTTCACACCTGTAATCCCAGCTACTCAGGAGGCTGAGGCAGGAGGGCAGCAAATTTGAGGTCAGGCCGAGCCACTTAGTGAGACCCTGTGTCAAAAATAAAATTTGAAAAGATCTAGGGGTACAGCTTAGTGGTAGAGAGCTTGCCCAGAATGTGCAAGGCCCTGGGTCCAACTCCCAGTACCACAAAATCAACAAGCAGCAAGACGAGTTTTCTCATGTTGTTCAAAAACAGTCAGAAGCCAATAGCACCAGAGCATTTCCCAAACGTCTTTCTTGTCCAGCTTTTCTAGAAAAGAACACTGAGTGACCATGTAGAAGAACAACACCTATTTGGATGTGGACATCTGCTATGTTTGGAGTTTTTTATTTTCATTTTTTAAAAATTTCACCACACCTCATATTTTGGGGCAAATCGGTCTCTCAGTTTTCTGAGCTGGGCTGACCTCCAGGTTGTCTGGAATGGGCCACAGAAGGGGGATCTGTGGCACTTAAAACAGTTCCCTACGGGCTGGGGAGGTGGCCCATGTCTGTAATCCCAGCACTCTGGGAGGCTGAGGCAGGAGTATCGTAAGTTCAAGCCTAGCCTGGGCAACTTAGCAAGCTAGTGTGACCCTGTCTCAAAATAAAAAAGGTCCAGGGACGTAGTTCAATGAGAAACTACTGGGTTCAACCCCCAATGCCAGGAAAAAAAAAATCTCCCCCACTGGCTGAGTTACCCTGGGGACATCTACTGCTGTCCCCAGATGCCAGTCCCCGGGGACACTCCAGGCAGGGCATTGGGAGGTCGAGGGACCAGAGGTTTCTTACCCAAGTTGGGGTCATATTCGCTGATAAACCTCTTGGTCAGGAACTTCACAGTCAGGGCTGTGGGAAGAAGAAAGACAGGGTCTCAGTCTCGCCGCTACGTGTGGCTCAGAAGGAACCAAAAATACGGGGGCCAAGTCCCGGCTAGTCACACCCCGGGATTTTTTTAAGAGCAAGAAGGCAAGGAGAGGCCAGGCTAAAGGGGCTTTGGTGGAGACCCAAACGCAGCGGTCAGGACTTGTGAACCAGTTACTCAAATGAGCCTGGTGAGACTCCAACCGAAGGGACCTGTCCTCACCCTGGACAAGTCACATCACACAGCTTCCAAAGCATGGGGCATTTATTCCAGCTTTGGCTACAACCCGAGAGACCCCAGGAGCAGAGCTGGGGTGTGGGCCCCGGAGGGTCTGAGCCCCGAGCTCCGGGATTCTACGCAAGGGGCTGGCTGAGAGGTCTGGGTCCCAGCAATTGCACCCGAGTCCTGCAGCTCACACCTCAGGGCTCAGTTCTGAGGACCTCCTGGGCATTCCTGCAGGATAGAGAACTCCAGGACAAAGCTCTCGCAGGCAGAGACCCTGGGGAAGGGAGCCCACAGCTCAGAAGCAGAGGGAGACACTTGCCGATAGCCATAACTGGATGAAGAGCCTGTAGAGGGGTCCCGTGCCCAGCCCACTTACAGCTGCTCACGGCTGTCACTGGCAGGGAAAGGCCAACCTTCTATCGGGGGTCTCTGCCTATGGTGACAGCTGAGAGTGATGAAGGTACAGTTCAGCATTGGCAGAAATGATCTCAGTGCAAGCCCAAGGTCTTGGTTCATCAAAGCTGAGTCCCAGAGACAGGCGTGGGCCAGAGATAGACAACCCTGGACATGAGGACGTGTAGTCCCAGCACTCTGGGAGGCTGAGGCAGGAGGACTGCAGGTTCAAGCTCAGCTTGGGCAACTTCATAACTTAGCAAGAAACCGTCTCAAAATTTAAAAATAAAAAGGGCTGGAGATATAGCTCACCGCAGAAGCTCAGGATTCAATCCCCAGAAGGGCAAAAAAAGGCAAGTCTCCGCCTCCGGGGACCACAGCCCAATATATTTACAAAAAATCAAGAGAGAGGTGTGACTTGAAGCAAACAGTTGCTAAGCATGCACAGCTGGTCCCCGGATGCCAAGGAACTGGGGTGGCCATTGCCTGAGAGATCCCAAGAGCCAGGGACTTCTACCAACCCCTTTCAATGGGTGTGTGTGTGTGTGTGTGTGTGTACGCGCGCGTGCGTGCGCGCATGCAGGTGACAACCTGACTTAACGGGCAGCCAGGCTGTGACCAAGTTCAAAGATCAGTGCCCAGCAGGTCCCTTTGCTGCCAGTCACCCCGGCTGGCTGCTGGCCCCAGGGAGAGGAGATGGGAGAGGAGATGAAGGGGAAGACTTCAGACCCAAGGAGAGAGGGTTCAGGGTGGGGGAGGACACAGGAAGGGTCACGGCCACGCAAGGCAGAGGCGCAGAGGCACAGAGGGAAGAGGCAGACGGAAGCCGACGACAGAAGAACCAGGCCGAGGGGCTGCGCGCAAGGGCGGAAGAGCGCAGAGAACCTGCAACGGAGAAACTGAGGCACAGAAGAAAATCGCAGAGGCTCGCCCAGCCCAGCTGGACAAGGAAGCCCCCAAAGCCAGCGGGGGACCCCGCGCCCCCAAAGCCACAGCGCCCCGGCCCCACCCCGGCCCGCGCCACTCACCGGACTTGCCGGCCCCGCGGCGCCCCAAGATGGCCAGGTTGACCTCGAGGGGTGCACTCGGGGGCCCACTGCCGGCGCGGGGCTTTCCGAACACCGAGGCCATGGCGACCGCGGAGGGCGACCCGGAGCCGGACCGAGCGCCCCGAACCGCGCGGCCGCCCTCCC